TTTTTTTTTTTTTTTTTTTTTTTTTTTTTTTTTTGGATGCATTCACTCTTTTCAAAGCGAATTGCGTAGCATTTTTTTTTTCGAACATTGCCTTGCTGAAGTTTCTTTGCTAGACTTTTTCCGTTGTTTTCGCTCCTGTCTCGCTTTGTCCTAAATGCATCTTCCTGAAAGGTTGATTTTCCCTTTTCATTGGCTTTTTTGGTTTATTTGAGTGTAACGGTAAAAATATAGCAGACTTGAATTTCATAGGGCTAGACTATTTTACCCATTGAAGCAACTTTTCAAAAACTTTTAATGCATCATCCCTCTGCATATGGTCAATACATGGTCCCATACACCTCCAACCAGGTTAAAACTCAGGAAATGGTGGCATATGGTTTAGTTCGCCGAATAAATGTTATTTAATCTAGTCTGCTGAGATTTCGAAATGCTTCTCACTTCGCAGAAAAGAGAAAAATTTAACATTTCCTGAGTTGCGTAGTTTTTTCAATGCTAGATGTTTTTGATTTTGCTAGGACATTTTTGAGATTGATATCAATTCGGTTAAGACTCTTGGTACACTTAGACTTCTAATTTTGAAAATGCTGTAACTCATCTCAAACTCGGTACCTTTAGCTAGATTTGGACTGTTATAATCATTTCTTTCTCTTGTTAATGGAAAGTTTTTTAGTTGGTAATAAGCTTGAAAATTTATCTTCAAAAAAGAAAAAAAGAGGAACAGCAGGTGCAGTTCGAGGGAGTTCGATTGCGGCTTTTTCAGCTAAAGATGAATCTGTGAGTGCTCGAATGGATTAGTTTATTGGAGGTGGAAATGGTGAAGTGCATGTTCTGGAGTGCTGGCTTGTGGCCTTTATTTTACAGTATCATTGAGACATTTAAATCAGTGCTGCCTGGAATGGGCATCTTCGTTATTACCACTGGCACATGTGGGAAATTTCGCTGTCGAACTGTTTATGCTGTAGTTTAAATAGTGACGAGAAAGTGAAATTCACGAGTTTGAAAACTTTTCTGCAGTCGCGTCAACTGAGATTAGATATTTCAAAACTGCAGTTTTCTTCAGTGGGACTGAGGAAGTAAGATGGTCATTGTATTATGATAAATGAAGGTCAAATTTTTTTTGGGCTAAAATTCAGCGTTCCATTGCTATACACATATACAGATGTGTTATATATATGGGCCATTCCACGTCAAATCGCACACTTTTT